GAAGGAAGGAAGGAAGGAAGGAAGGAAGGAAGGAAGGAAGGAAGGAAAATTGAACGCAAACCCAGAACCCTCCAACTCCTCTCCTCCTCCCACCTTCATCCTGCCTCTTTCCTATCTGACTCCAGGATCCTCCATGGCAGGAAGAGATACCTGATCCCTTGGAAGAGCCGAGAGATCCACCTGGAGGCCCCTGGGGAAGTGTAGCCAGAGCAGGGAGTCTCGGAGAAGGATGGCAGCTGCCCGCAGCACGTGGGACAGGAACAGGTTCATATGGATGAAGTTGCGCATGCATCGAAGCTTCCTGGGGGAAGAGACGGGGTGTGCATTGGCATACTATCAGGTCAGCCTCCCAAGAAGACCAGACAGGGAACATACGTCCCACGAGACGAATTCTACATTATTGTCAGAACGTTGCAGGTCCGAAAACATGGGGAGCCCTTGACTTACAACCGTTCACTTAGGAACGCTGCAGGAATCGTAAGTGTGAAAAACAGCCCGACGTCCCTTCTTTCAGTGCCATGGTGTTGTGGTTAGTTGGCAGCAGGTGCGGACGGCTGAGGAGAGCGAGGACTCAGGTGAGGGGCCAGGACCATTAGGGAGTGGACTGCTGCCTTCAGAGATTGGGGGGGCTGGCAGCAGTGAAGAGGAGGTTCCCGAGGAGCCTGTGCCAAGTGCGCGTGCGTGCAGGATTGCTCGCAGGAAAGAGCAGCTGCAACAGCATGGGTGACTCGGGAGTAAGGCTGCAAGGTAATGGCCCCTCCTTCAAGAAGATAAAAGCCAGCTGTGAAGCAAACGTTCTTTGCAGGAAGCAAAGACGTTTTGAAACTCGGCCTCGGGGACATTGCAGTATCTTAAGTTGCTATTTGAAGACTCTTGTGTTGTGAAATATTTCTTATCTGTGATTCTTGGCAGCCTCGCACAGTTTTGGCGAGGCTTGTGCTTATCAAAGTTAATTTGTTTGCAGCAGCCTTTTAACCGGGGATTCGTGAGAATCATTAAAAGGTTTCTGTTCCCTTTGGTTCGTGGTTTGTTTTATTATTGGAAAAGGGTTTGGGTCAGAACACATGGTAACTTCAAACGGTCACTAAACGAACTGTCGTAAGTCAAGGACGGCCTGCATTTCAGAGCCCAGAGCAATGCATTGTGGATCCAGTTTTTCCCTACCTGAAGGCTGCCAGCAGTGTCAAAGCCACAAGGAGCGACACGAGCGAGAGGGAGTAGCCTACGGTGTACATCCAGCGGAATTGTTCCAGGATCCACAAACGTTTCTGAAGGAAAAGAGAAATCCAGAGGGGAGCTTGTGATCTAAAAACATCAGCACCCCTGTAAGGAGAGGAATGTACGAATGGATCCTGCTTGGATGATGACCAAGAGAAGATTTTTTCAAACCAGAGTTTCCCTGCCGATGCCTGTTTGGTCTGGGGGTTAAGGCGCTGGCTTGGGAACCCGGTGATTGTGAGTTCTAGTCCCATCTTCAGCACGAAAGCTGACCGGAGGACTCTGGGCCAATCACCAGGAGATGGTGAGTTCTAGTCCTACCTTAGGCATTAAAATCAACTGGTTGACTTTGGGCCAATTACTGGGAATCAACTCACAAGTTATTGTTGTTGTGGGAAAAATAGGGGAGAAAGGTGTATAAGACTAAGTGCTATTGCTATTCAGTATATTTGCCATCTTGAGTTATTTATAAACAACAATAAAGGCAGGTTAAAAGTCGAATAAATATAAATTATTATCTGTGGCTGCAGTCTTAGTTAACATGTGACATTTTTACTGAATTTAAGGTGCCCCAAAGGTGCTTTTTCAAGAGGCAACATGCTGGCTGGGGAATTCTGGGAGGTGAAGACGTCCACAGTTCTTAAAAGTTGCCATGATGGGGCCATCTCTGGTCTAATAGATTTTACCTGCAAAGGGAGGTCATCATCGGGGCCCACGCACTGGGAATGATCCCGCCACGGCAGTCCAGAGGCATCAACCACCCACTGCCCATCTGCGCCACATTTCTGGAACACGAATCCATCTTGCACTGCCAGGGAAAGAAAGAGGTTGAATCCGATGATGCCAGTTAAACAGCCGACTAATGTCTCCTTCTACATTTTAAAAGTTATATCAAACATCGCCTGCTTGTTGCCTAGCGGCCTGCCTTGCCCCAACTTGAGATCCAGACAGCCTGGAGTACAACTCCCATCATCCACAGCCAGCCCAACCAAGGGGGCTCTTATCCAGGAATCACAATTTGCGATAGGTTTTTTTTTTTTTTTTGGCCAGTATTGGTTTATTTCTGACAGTCGCGGTGTCTGATCACGCATTGGCAAACTTCCCAGCAGTCAATTAAGGGAAGAGATTCGCTTAAGGACTGCAGAATTCACTGAACAATGCTGCAATTCGCTTAAGGACCGTGGTAAAACTGCAAAAATCTGATGATGACTCCTTTTAACAATTGCATCACTTAGCGATTGGAATTCTGGTTCTGATTTGCAGCCATAATTCGAGAGCCACCTGTGTTCTGGTCCAGTCCAATTGAAGAAATCAATGCTATCTACCTATTTTTCCAAGGTATAGATCAGGAATCTTCAAACTTGACAGCTTTAAGACTTGTGGACCTCAACTCCCAGAATTCCTCTTCCAGTCACGTTAGCTGAGGAATTCTGGGAGTTGAAGTCCACAAGTCTTAAATTAGCCAAGTTTGAAGACCCTTGTGATAGATGATAGATAGATGATAGATACATACATAGATTTATTTATTTACTTTATTTATTTATTTTTGTCAATTGCTTACAAGATAATAGGTATAAGTAAAAACATAGTTATGAATACATGTAAGAAAAATAAAATATAAAAGAAACAATAGGACAGGGACAGTAGGCACGTTGGTGTGCTTATGCACGTCCCCTACAGACCTCTTAGGAAAGGGGTGAGGTCAATAGTAGACAGTTTAAGGTTAAAGTTTTTGGGGTTTGGGGAAGAAACCACAGAGTCTTGATTGATTGATAGATAGATAGGTAAATAGATAGGTAGGTATGGAGAGAGAGAGAGAGATGAAAGATAGACAGACAGGCAGGCAGGCAGGCAGGCAGATAGATGATTAGATCAGGGGGTCTTCAAACTTGACAGCTTTAAGACTTGTGGACTTCAAATCCCAGAATTCCTCCTCCAGTCACGTTAGCTGAGGAATTCTGGGAGTTGAAGTCCACAAGTCTTAAACTTGCCAAGTTGGAAGACCCTTGGTATAGATGATAGATAGATGATAGATATATACATAGATTTAAATTGAGTATAGATTGAGTCTTTCTACCTGCCTCAAACTGCACTCACCTTGCTGGTGCCAAGGGAGGTACCAGGGGCAAGGAACCTGGGCCGATGTATTAGGGAGGGCATCGTCCCAACAGGCGTACATATCAAACGTACGGTTACACACCAGGCCTGCAACGCAACAAAAGAGAGGAAGAAGGGTATGAGCAGGATGAGAAATCAACAATCACGCTGAGGATGGCGAACATCCACATGTGCTATCTAATCACCCCATGCCCCAAGAACCCCAATTCATCAATATTTCTTAAGGTCAGCGCTTCACAACCTTTATAACCTGGAGATGGGTGGACTTCAACCCCCAGAATTTCCCAGCCGGCATGCTAATAAACTTGAAAATAGGTAGACTTCAACTCCCAGAATTCTCTGGCCAGCATGCTAATGAACTTGAAGATGGGTGGACTTCAACCCCCAGAATTCCCCAGCCAGCATGCTAATAAACTTGAAAATAGGTGGACTTCAACTCCCAGAATTCTCTGGCCGGCGTGCTAATGAACTTGAAGATAGGTGGACTTCAACTCCCAGAATTCCCCAACTAGCAACCTAGTGAACTTGAAGATAGATGGACTTCAACTCCCAGAATTCCCCAGCCGGCATGCTAATGAACTTGAAGGTGGCTGGCTGGGGAATTCTGGGAGTTGAAGTCCACACATCTTAAAGTTACTATGGCTGAGAAGAACTCTTTAAGGTGCCTATCAAGAGGTACCCATTAATGATATAATGTGAGACACATTATTTCTTTCCTTAACCCTTTTTCAAACCGCTTGCCAACCACTAGATCTTTTCAGGATTGGCAGGCGCTTTAAGCATCACTACTTTGACAAAGAGGGTAGAAATACACACAGCAAGAAAAACAGAGCCAGCAGCAATCAACTCAGGTTGAAAAGCTCCATCATCACGGCATAATTATTACCTGATAGATACGTTAAAAATCACTGGTGAAAACAAATATAGTTAGATCCCAGGCTGAAAAATGTGACCCAATTTTGCATTTGACAATAAAAAGGATGCAATTTTTCCTTGACAGCATCTGTGCCACGAAAAACGGTTTCTTAGGAATGTATATCTGGTTTTTTTGCATAACGGATTCTGTTTCCCCTTGTTATGGAAAAGAGCAAAAAATATGGCAATAACAATCTTTGAAATTTACTCACCCACACGCCCAAAAAGTGCATTGCACCATCTTTTGGGCTTGTGAGACATTGCAAGTTTTTCCACACCCTTTTTAAAGATTACAAGCCAGAGGTGGTATTCAGCAGGTTCTGACCGGTTCTGGAGAACCGGTAGTGGAAATTTTGAGTACTTCGGAGAACCGGCAAAGACCACCTCTGACTGTAGATTTTACGGTATCCTTCCCCTTTCAGGCCCACCAAGCCACGCCCACAGAACCGGTAGTAAAAAAATTTGAATCCCACCACTGTTACAACCACCTCCGTTAAGGGTGAGACGTTTGTCCTGGTTGATGCCAAGTCAATATTCCAAATTGCCTTTTGGAAAACCAGTACAAAATTTGGTGTTTTGGCCGCACTGGTGCAGCGTACACCTCGTTTGGGTTGGCTGTGAACTCGTTATACATTAGCATATTGCAAATATACCCCCCGGGGGGCTGAAACGCTTCTTGTTGTGTTATTTACACACAGATGATATCTCTGCCTCTATCATTTCCCAAACAATGCAAGCAGCTGCAAAAAAACCCACCAAAACCAGAGTTTGTTTTTTCTTTGAGGACAGGCCGGACAATGTTTGCAATGTGCATTAAGAAAATTTCACCTTGCAAAATAAACTATTGGTTTGCATGAGCATGGAGAAACTACTGTATATAATAGCATGGTGTTTCTTGCCCTTAGGAACTTTAAGATGGGTGGACTTCAACTCCCATAATTCCCTAGCCAGCATGCAAGTTTAAGATGGGTGGACTTCAACTCCCAGAATTCCCCAGCCAGCATGCAATTTTACGATAGGTGGACTTCAACTCCCAGAATTCCCCAGCCAGCATGCAATTTTACAATAGGTGGACTTCAACTCCTAGAATTCCCCAGCCAGCATGCAATTTTACAATAGGTGGACTTCAACTCCTAGAATTCCCCAGCCAGCATGAAATTTTAAGATGGGTGGACTGTCATAATTCCCTGGTTGGCATGAAATGTAAAGATATGTGACTTCAACTCCCAGATTTCCTTAGGCAGCATGCAACTTTAGGATATGTAGACTTCAACTCCCAGAATTCCATGCTGGCTGAGGAATTCTGGGAGTTGAAGTCCACACATCTTAAAATTGCCAAGGTTAAAGAATGCTCTATTGGGAGAAGCCTGAGGTGGATATGGATTCACAAGACTGAAAAAAATAAAGCATCTAAGTGTTTCTGCACCTGTTGGTTGAGGCTCTTCTGTCATCTTTCGGATGCAGGCCTCTTGGTATCCCTGCCAGGCTTCCAACATCTCTTGGAGCGAAGACCCCGTGGGGTGAGCCTGCAACACAGGAGGGAGAAGAGGGGTACATTCCCCCAACATTTGGAAGTTTGAAAACAAAGAATAGAATAGAATAGAATAGAATAGAATAGAGTAGAGTAGAGTAGAGTAGAGTAGAGTAGAGTAGAGTAGAGTAGAGTAGAATAGAATAGAATAGAATAGAATAGAATAGAATTCTTTATTGGTCAAGTGTGTTTGGACACACACAAGGAATTTGTCTTTGGTGCAAATACTCTCAATGTACATAAAAGAAAAAATATATTCGTCAAGAATCATCAGGTACAACACATAATAATAACAATATAAAAATAAAAATGAGGGGGGATGGAGGAAGGAAAGGGAGGGGAGGAAGGGAGGGTGATTGGAAGGAGGGAAGGAAGAAGGATGGATGGAGAGAGGGACGGAAGAGGGAGGGAAGGAGGGAGGAAGGAGGGAGGGAGGGAGGGATGGAAGGAGGGAGGAAGGAAGGGGGTTGCTGCAAAAAAAGAAGAAGAAGAAGCCACACCCACCCAGTCACATGGCCACGCCCACCTGGCCACACCTATCTGGCCACGCCCACAGAACCGGTTGTTAAAAAAATTTGAATCTCACCCCTGGGCACGGATCCTCCATCTGCTCACCTCTATTGTCTGGTAGATCTGAATCAACAGCAGGAAGAGCTCCAGGGTTTTCTGCATACTGGGGAGGGTAGAATTGTGGGGGCTACAGATCAGTTAAGCTCCCACCTCAAGACCCTTTTTTCAGCCAAGATCCCTGGCCCACGTTCATCAACTTGTCCAGCCTGAAAAAGGACAAAACGGAGGTTGCCCAGAAATAAGACACCTGGTGTGTAACACAGGTAGTGCTCGACTGACAACAGTTCATTTAGTGACCCCCTCAAAGTTACAACGGCACTGGAAAAATGTGATTTGTGAGTGTTTTTCATACTCACAACCAGGGGTGGGGTTCAAAAATCACCAGCAACCGGTTTGATGCCCAGTTGCTAGGTGGACGTGGACGTGGTGGGTGTGGACTACCGGAACTTTCTGGAGGGCCATTTTTCACCTTCCCCAGAGTCCGGAGGCTTTCCTCGGGCCTCCGGGAGCGTGAAAACAGCCTCCCCTGGGCTCTGGAGGCCATCTAGAAACTGGAAACAGGCCCGTTTCTGGACTTCCAGAAGGCCCATTTTTTCCCCTCCCAGAGCCTCCATGCAGACCCTGCAAAATGGGCCACGTGGAGACTCCTGGGAGGGGAGGGGAGAGGAGGGGAGGGGTGAGCAGGGCCAGCTGGCCGGTTCAACTACCAGCTTGGCGAACCAGATGCAAATTTAACATCCGGTTCGCTCGAACCAGTCCGAACTGGTAGAATCCCACTCCTGCTCACAACTACTGCAGCCTCCCCAGGGTCACGTGATCAAAATTCAGGTGCTTGGCAAGGGGTTCCTGTTTAAGGACGGTCCCCGTGTCCCCGTGATCCTCTTTTGCGACCAGCAAAGTTTATGGAGAACCCAAATTCACTTACTAACTGAATGAGTGCAGGGATTCACTCAACAATGGTGCCAAGTCCGTACCATGGGGCGAAATTCCCTCAGCCAATGTTTCACTTGGTGACATGAATTTTGGGCTCAGTTGTGGTCATGAGTCGAGTATTTTAAAAGTAAATTTGAGAATTTACTGGCTTTTCACCCGGGATGGGGTTCTACCTGGTCGGACCAGTTCTATAGAACCGGTTGTTACGATTCTGTGCAGTTCAGAGAACCGGCAAATTGTGACATTAGCTGGCCCCACCCCACCCATTCACTTCTTACCTGGCACGTGCACCATCCAACCTGCCCGTGTTGTGCCTTCACCTAATTTTTGGTAAGTTGCTATTTTTCCTTTTACTCCCCCCGCCCCCGACGATCAGCTGTTCCTACTATCAGCTTACTGGGAGATTTAGATTAGCTAGAAAGCAGGAAATCGTTGGATTTCTTGCTTTCTAGCTAATCTAAAAGCAGAGCTGAACCTTCCTTAGGACTGAAGCTTCTATTTTTCAGTGCAGACTCAGGTAGCAGATTGCAGAAAGATAGATCTCTGGGTGAATCTGTGATTCTGCAAGCAACTTAATCTGCCTGCCTGCTTTGCCTGATTTTGGGTAAAAGTTGCTCTTTTTTTATAAAAACAAATCAATATTTACATCAATATTTATAATATTGACATACAGTCTGGCAGCTGAATCTCAGAGCTGATAGGATAATTTCTGGGTGCCTAACACAAGCCATGCCCAGCCAGTCACATCAGCACCAAGCCACACCCACAAATTAGGCCACGCCCACAGAACTGGTTGTGAAGAAATTTGAATACCACCCTTGCTTTTCATTCCCTCAGGTTAGCTTGTCTTGCAAGATAGGGAAGTTTCATTGAATTTCACA